ATATATATATATATATATATATATATATATATCTCCAGTGATACTCTTCACAGAACCAGGAAAAAATCCTAAAACCCACAGAAGCACAACCTTAAAATTCAATTCAAACAAAGAAACAATGGTAAAATCTGTATGGAAGCACAAAGGACCCTAATAGTCAAAACTGTCTTGAGAAAAAAACAAAGCTGGAGCTAACACAATATCTGACTTTAAAACACAAAATGGTTAGGATAGCTATACAGCAGCATTCTCTTAATTCAATGAATACAGAGATTTGTTCTTATAGAGTTTGTGGACAGGATATCATGTCATTGCATCTTGTACAATGAATAACCACTAAGACAACAATATACAATGTATTAATTATTGAAACTGTGCTAGTAATCAGTTTTGAAACTCTCAGTCCTATTTGTTTCTCAATAAAATTATTTCTAAACACACACACACTGTGAAGCTACAGTAATCAAAACTGTAAGACACAGACAATGGAACAGAACTGGATACCCTGGAATAACCCTGAACAGCTACAGTTGTTACAGGCAGTGAGTTAGGCAAAAACATCATTCAGACAGGGTGAAGCCCTCCAAAGGAGCCAATATGGAAGACAAGATGCCTTGCACCTGTTGGGGAGACACACAAAAGATCAAACAAATGCACACCTCCCTAAAGATAAGCATCCCCACTGATATTCTAAACAGGTCTCTATCACCTTGAGGAAGCCTGGAAGAGTCACTACCCACCCCTACAGGAAAGGCCCCGGTTCTGTATTCATCCCCCTTGCTATACCACTCACTTCCCCATTTGAGCCTAGCTTTAATCAATTTTACTGGAGCAATTATGCTTATTGGCCAACCTTAGTTTTGTCCCACCTCATGTACGAGTCCCCATGTTTTTCACCTTAGACCGCTTCTCCTCATAGTTTTGTTCTATAAAAATCTCTAGAAACAGCAGATTCCTGGGCAACCTACTCAGGTCCCCTTTTGTCCCTCTCTAGGACAGAAGCTTCCTTTCCCCCAATAAGTAAACACTGCCTTAATCTCCATTGTTCCTAAAATTCGTTCTTTGGTTTTTAAGAACACGAACTCATCCCAGGTATCTTTCAGACTGGGAGTTTCATTCTCCATCAGAAAAAAGTGATTTTCAACAAAAGTGCTAAAAACTCGCAATAGAAAAAGAATCATCTTTTTAATACTTGGTACTGAGAGGGCTGGGAAATCACTTGAAGAAGAATGAAACTAGACCTTCTATCTCTCACCCAGCTATAAAAATCAATTCAAAACAGACTGAAGACTTAAAGACCTGAAATTGTAAAACTACGAAGAGAACACATAAACACATATGACACATGCTTTAGTCACTGGAATGGGCGCGGATTTTTTTTTTATAAGACCTATCAAAACTAGACATATGGGATTATTTCAAATTAAAATCTTGTGAATAGCAAAAGAAAGCTTCAGAGTGAAGAACTTATTGAACAAGAGAAAATATTCGCAAACAGAAAATTCGACAAGAGTTGGCATCCAGAATAGACAGGGAACTCAAAAACCTCAACAGCCAAAGACCAAAACAAACCAAACACTTGATTAAGCAACAGACAAAATAACCTGAACGGACATTTCTTGGAAGACAGACAAACAGGCAGCAGGTAGATAAGAAGCCGCTCCACATCCCTAGTCCCCAGGGAAGATCGAAGCAAAGCTGCGATGCGTGCTGCTCCTGTCAGCACCAAGGAAATGAGGTCAGCACACAGCAGAGCTCGCCTGCCCTGACCACCGAGCACTGTTCACAGTGCCCAGAGGTGCGGTTGGCTCAGCTGTCAGGAACCCCGAGGACTGGTGGGACGGACACGGACACGGACACACACACACACACACCCATTCAGCCACAGAAAAGAACGAAATTCTGTCTTCTGCAACAATGTGGAGAACTAGAGATCATTATATCACACGAAATAAACCAGGCTCTGAACACAAATACTCATGTTCTCGCTCATCCCAGCAACGTAAAAAAATAATTCTCCCAGAAGATGACAGGAGAATGGAGGGTGCCAGAGGCTGGGGAGGGTACAGTGGGGGGTAATCAATGGGTTACAGTTAGCGAGGGCACAGCTCTGAACGTACTAGCAGGGTGATCACAGAACAATGATATACCTCAAAACGCTGCAAGAAGCCAGGTGTAGCGGTACTCTGGGAAGGCAAGGTGTGAGGATCTCAAGTTCAAGCCCAGCCCACAGCAACTTAGCAAGCATCTCAGAATGAAAGTGAGCTGAGAGGGCTGGGGACATAGCTCAGCGGTGTACGTGCCTGCCTGGCAAGCCCAAGGTCCCAAGTCTGATCCCCAGTACCACAAAACAAAAAAGAGTGGAGGACATACACAACTTAGCACAAAGGCCCTGGGTTACTCCTCAGCACCCCCCCCAAGGCCAGGATACTGAATGTTTGCAGAGATGATGGACGACATGTAATAGAGCTATGTTTAACCCAACTTAAACATCAGACAATGTACATACATAGGAAAGTGTCACATAGTACCCCATTAATTTTAATCCTGCCAAAATTTTTAAGTGTGGAATAGGAATAAGAAAAAAATTTGAAATATTAGAGAACATATTTCTAAGTATGAAAAAAAAACCAGAAGCCAAACACAAAATAAATGAAAGCCCAACATTACAAATTTGGACGTTACCATACTACTACCAAAATCTTAAGCATAACACAACAGGCATGTGTCAGGACAAGGCATCTTTATATAAAGGAAACATAACTGAAAGACATTAAAAGTCCAGTTAGTGTTCACTTTTCTGAAACAATGGCTTTAAGATGCTGCAGTGGAAGCCTCAAGTCAAAGCTGCCCTCCCAGCTGCCTCGGAGAGTGCTGCTACAGGAGGCTGTGCAGCAGTGATGGCCGATTGTCTTCCTAGCTCCGGCTTCCCAGCTGCGAGCGCGCTCCCTGAAGCCTTCTCACACAGACTCTTGCTCAGGAGAGTAGCAGTCCGCAGAGCCACCTCACATGCTAACCAGATGTGGCCCAGTGTGAGAGCCGGCAGGACTTCTGTCTTGGACACAGCCTATCCTAAGCGGCACAGCGGCACAGGGGGGAGTGGTGTGGCTGTTTCAGCTCCTGAAAGTCAGGACTGGCAGAAAGTGAGGTTTTATGAACTTGACATTAAGACTGAGTTACAGTGCCGAGGCGTAGTGGCACATACTCGCAGCACTCAGGAGGCAAGGCTGAAGGATCACAAGTTCAAAGTCAGTCTAGGCTACACAGTGAATTCAAGGCCAGCCTGGACTCCATGATGAGACTCTGTCTTTAAAAAAAAAAAAGACTAAGCTACTACAAAGTTAAATAAATCCCAACGAGTGGACAACTGCTGCTACAGCTAAATACTATGGTAACTGTAAGGCCCCCAAGAGTTGGAATAGCCTAGAAAGAGAATACATACCAGTAGAGAAAAACTACCAACTCTGACATCAACACCTAAGATTCCAAGGTCACAGTACATTTTAGTTACTTGTCACTTGCTGCTGAGAAACATACCTGACTCAGTGTTAAAGGGAAAAGCTCTTTAGCTCAGTGTGCAGAGGCTTCAGTCCATAACTGGCTGTGTCCAAAGCAAGGAGGATTGCCGCAGGGGCATCCCAGAGGAGAGATGGTTGTTGGCAGCAGAAGACAGCAAAAGCAAGGTAGGGAAGGGGAGAGGCACCGCTTCTTTCTGCCCCTTTATCTTATTTAGATTTGGGGGATTAGGGCTGTACCAATCCCTGCAGTAGGCTGATCCAGCAATACCCACCTTAATCCTAGCATTACCCTGTGAATCAATCACACAACCCAGATTCAGCTACTCTGAAAAGCCCCATCTAAAAGCGCATGAGGCTCTGGGGGACACCTAGACACAAACAGTAACATACTGGCTTCACACAGAGACAGAAAGGGAAAATGTGGGCTGCGGAGATAGCTAGGAGGTCCACGTGCCTGCCGGCAGGCACAAGGACCAGGGTTCAATCCCCCGTACTGCATGTCATGCTTGCCCTGAAGTCCTGGGCACACTCTGCAGGCCTGGAAACTGGGCATGGTGGCACACGCCTGTAATCCCAGCACTGGGGAGACTGGGACAGGAAAATCACTATGAGTCTGAACTGTGTAGTGAGACCCTGTGCCAAATAAATAAATAAATAAATAAAACATTTTTTAAAAAATTTAAAAAAGAAATGGAAGAAGTACTGGCTATTATGTTTTTAGATGTTAAATCTGATATCCAAATACTAACAAAAGATAATTGCATATTAAAGAGAAAAAGTAAAACTCAAAACAATAAAGCCTAGAAGGCAGAGACAGAAGAGTAAAAATTTACACTACACATGCCCCGAAACAAGCTGCTACAGTCACCAGTCAGAAGTGCCTTAACTTCTTACCTCAAGTTGCAGAGTTCACAAGAGAGAACACTGCAGCTGGACCGCGACTCCCCTGAAGCCAGCGCATCACTGCTTTTCCTTCAGCACCTGGAACCCTGGCAGGCATCTAAGTGTTGCATGAATGACTGCAGAAGAACACTAACAAAAAAGAAGACTGCCTACTGCTCAGCGCCCGTGTGGTGCAGATAAACAACCTGATTCACTGCAAAGGAAAATTCTGGATGGGCAGTTTTTCCAGAGGAAAACTTGGAACACTTGCCAAAAATCTGAAAATGTGCCCAGTCTTACTCCAGGCATTTCACTCAGGAAATTCACATATACACTAAATATTTCATCTTTGTGTATTATCGTGGGGTCTAACCCAGGGCCTTTTGCGTGCAAGGCAAGATTCCTACCACTGAGCCACATCCCATCCCCAATTAAAGGATTGCTACGTGGCATTCTGTGTATAATAAACAAAAGACAGCCTAATGCCCAGCCCTCCACACTCTCATAGAAGACTGAACTGGTTCTATAGTTCACCCTACACAATGGAGTCCTAGGTAACCACAGAAAGGAAGATTCTTATAGATGTCTGTTAGTGTGGAAAATGATAATGCACTTTAATGAAAAAGAGGAGGTGACAAAAGAGGGCTCATAGTACCACCATTCTTCTGATTAAAAACAACAAAAAAACAACTTCTAACAGGATCTATGCTGAAATACTATGTCCCCCAAAGTGGTAAGAGAACTAACAATGATTTATATACTCTTATTTCTATTTTCTTAAGTTTCTACAATGAATGTGTATTATTTATAAAACCAAATGGCCCATTATAAAAACATTAATTTTAAAAGACAGTAAGATAACAGGTTCTGAAGTAATGTCAGGTAAACTGTTAATAGCAAACATCACAGATCCTCTGAAAAACTACAGCATCCTTTGCTGCTTGGATCTGTGGATACCTCTGATACTAGGATTACACCTTGCAAATTCTGACATGCTTTTATTAGCCTTGGTAAGAAAAGAAAACCACAACATAGGCAACAAACCTGCTGAAGAAAATCAAAACCTTTACTCTCACTCTAGTTTTTGGTGAAGTCTTAAACACAGAGCAATGAGGTCTCAAATGGAAACCACTCCACCAGCCAGTACAGAGCCTGTGGCCTTCAGAAGAACTTTCATCAACAAAAATCTAGAAATCAGATACAGCCTCATACATAATCTTCAGGTTAAACTTTTGAGTTTACTACTCACCTTCAAAAGACTTCTTAAAAACAAAAAATTCACCTTCATCCTGTTTAAATAACATAAATATCAGGTAATAACTGGAAAGCAAATAAAGCATTCAATACAGGCAAAGCCACCCAACTGCAAACTGAACTACTGCTATCCTTATCTGATGAATTTACAGCACGTCCCCAAGTGCTGCAACTCCTGTATCCCTAGATGTTACCTGCTACACTAAAACTAAACCAGCCAATGCTCCAAAGGTGGCATCTTTTCATTCGCAGTGTCCTACTCACTTTCCACTACCAAATGTCTTGTTCCAGTCTTCATACAGCTCTAAGTCTTTGGAAGATACACTAGGCCGCACAGTTCTAAAAGCATTTTCAAAGTCGATGTAAGCTATGGGCCGAACCTGATCTGGAGTTATGGTGGCAATGTCAGCAGTCTGTAGACTGCGAATGGGACCGAGGGATGCCTCCCTGCACAGCTGGGTCATGTCTGCTCCGGAGAAGCCATCAGACCGCTGGACAACCTGAAGGACTTCCTCCTCAGTGAGGTCACACTGCTCCTTGGACATCAGGTTCACCACTATCTGTTTCCTGGCAGATGCCTCCGGGAGGGGAATGTATAGTCTCTTTACCAGCCTTCTCCGGGCAGCCTCGTCAATCTCTTGGGGCCGATTTGTGGCTCCCACCACTAGAATTCGGTCTTCAGAAGATGTGGATGTTCCGTCTAACTGTACTAAAAATTCCGTTTTTATTCTCCTGGAAGATTCATGTTCACCATCTCCTCGCTGAGACAATAAGGAGTCAATTTCATCAATAAATATCACAGCTGGTTGCTGACACCTTGCAACAGCAAACAGAGCACGGACCATTTTCTCCCCCTCTCCCACCCACTTAGAGGTCAAGGATGAAGCCGAGATGCTGAAGAACGTCGCTCCAGACTGGCTAGCGATGCACTTGCCAATCAGAGTCTTACCAGTCCCTGGGGGACCAAAGAGCAGAACCCCTTTTGGGGGTCCCCGTAGCCCAGTGAAGATGTCTGGCCTCATCATGGGCCACACGACTATCTCCTTTATCGTGGTTTTTGCAAAGTCCACCCCTGCGATATCCTCCCAGTGTACTGGCGGCCCATGATCCATGATCTCATTCATAATCAGTTCAATCATCTTGGGCTCCACGTTCTTCAGGCGCTCATCAACGGGAGGGGCTGGCTCTGCGGGGGCCGCCCCATGGGTCTTGTACTGCAGGCCGCCGTTCTGCTCTGTCCCCTCTGGTTTAGGAACAGGAGGAACAAACTTTGCAAATATCCCTCGAGATCGCCCAGCTCCCAGAGACTTCTTCACACCCCCAAGGGAGGGCCCTGGGGCACGCTGAGGCTGGTGGCCCTTTCTCTGCTGGTCTGCCCATAACTGTTCCTTTGCAGTTTTAAAAGTAGGCAGGGTGCTCTCTTCCCGTGGGCCACTGTCTTCTGTCTTCCCAATGGCCTTATTCAGAACTGGAGTGGAAAGAGTATCAATGGTGACAGAACTATAAACGGCCTTCTTTGCCCACGCATTTTCGCAGCCAGAAGGAAAGGGAGTATGGTTAGATAACACCATCTGCAGTCCCACAATAGCTTTAGGAGAGTTGCGACTTTCCTTTGGGACATTTCCAAATAATGGGGTGGCTTGGAGCTTGGCTGTGGCTTTCTCACCTAAGGAGGAGGACATGGAGTAAGTCTGGGCACTGTTGGGCACCATAGGTGGCTGGGCCCTCTGAGGGCACCTCCACAGGCTGCTGGCTGGGAGGTCTTGGGTCCTATTTGTGTCAGGAGCTGAGCCGGGGAATAGGCCGTCTCCGGCATCCCCACGAACATCAGAGTCAGGAAGACCACAGGCAGGGTCCTCTGGCTGGATAACTACTGATGCCCCCGCAGGGCCCAGCAGTGCGTCTCTGGAGCTTCTGCCAGCCTGCATCATCTTCTGGACGCTACTCATTTTGAAGACATTGTTTACTGACAGCCCCGACTGCCACTTGCTACTGTCAGACTGCTGAGATCTTGCCAAAGCTAAAATGTTTTCTGCATAGTTATTCAAGCCAGCTTCCACATTGTCAGAATCGACAACTGCAGAGTATTTTTCCGCATATCTCTTGAAGAGTTTGGTAGCACAGACCTGGGAGATCTCAGTGCTCGCCCAGGCATACTGAATACGTAGTATCTGCGCACGATACGCATCTGCCTTCTGTGCCGGTGTACACGTGCCGGATGTGATTGCAAAGTAGTTCTTCTGCCACTCGCTCAGGTGCACAGACCGAGAGCTGGGGGCCTGCATCTCAGAGGTTCTACAGTGGGGCACAAAAGGAAAGGCAAGTGAGTAGCAGGAAGAAAACAGACATAATGGTCCCGAAGATCTGCTGGGGTTTTTATTTATAAGGTTTATTTATAACAACAGATTACTTGTAAGAGAAAAATCAAATAAATCACAGACTTTGAGTACTCAAGATATACAAGTCTATTTTAAATTCAGTGTTTCTTGGTAATTTTTAAAATACGGAGCTTTTCAATCTATGAATAGAACACAACCTTTAACAAAATTTTCAGCAGAAAGAGACTGAGAAGTATAACATCAAAAATTCAGAAATAAAAAGATGCATACTACTATACATACTATTCAAAATTTTTCTAGAAGTTCTGGTCAACAAGATAAAATTTTTAAAAAATAATATGTTAAAACACTGAAGGGGACCGGGGAGATGGCTCAGTAGAATATGCACTTCCCTGGCAATCGCAAGGGCCTGAGTTTGATCCCCGGTTCTGCCAAAAACAAAACAAAACAAAAACTAAACACTGAAAAGAGAAAAAAGCAATTGCTATTAGATAAATGAGTGCTGCCATCACAAAACCAAGTGAATTAATAAATAGGTAATATAGCACTCATCAAGATATATAGATATAGGAGGGAATAACCTGCTCAGGCCGCTCTCCTATCCCTCTCTTGGACAGGAGCTTTCTTTTCCTCAATAAATATATTCTGCTCATAACCTCTGTTAAAAAAAAAAAAAAAAAGATATATAAAGTCAAAACGTAAAGTTTTCTTTAAGTTTGGTCCCCTATCCAGGAAATTTTTTAAAATTTAAAATAAACCATGCTCATAACAACTACAAAGACTTTAACATATCCAAAGAAGTGGAAGTCCTGCAATGTGAACTCTCAAAATATAGAAAAATTGATACAAAGTCTTTAAGCTTAAAGGCTTAATAGTGATTTTTGTGAACTAAAATATTTTAGTTATACAACAATTTTCCTGGCAGAGAAAACATTCATCAGGTTTACACAGAAAGGATTTAAAATTAAGCACCAAAACAAAGGCACTATGGGAGCACAGTGAAACTATGGGTACACAGAATAAAGCAGGTGTTTACATCCGGGCTCCAGGAAAAATTAAGAGGATAGACCCTAAGCAAGCTTTTACTCTGAGCCTGCAATTTCCTTACTGTCAAGTGAAGAAGCAGCATTATGAGAATCAAGCCAGGCCATGAATGTGAATACAGGGTGGGAATGACTCATGTTCCCGCCAGCACAAATGCAGAAACTGCAGCTCAGTGAAGGAACTCACCAAAGACCACACAGCTGCTCATCAAAGGAGCCAGAGGTCAGAGCCTGAGGGATAAGGCCATAAAGATGAACTCTAGTTAATGTTTTCAGTGTCTCACTCATGCATACGCACTTAAGATAACAAGCCACAGACTCTCCCACAATTTCACATAAAGTGAACGCACAATTGTTATGGCGCATAAAACAGCAAAAGCCAAAGAGCCAACCAGTAAAATGCTTTTACTGTAGATTTCTCTCTCATGTTATTTCCATAAGCATGTTCATATGCTTTAACCACCATGAATGAATCATGATGTTGCACGTGTAGAATCCATCTATGTATTCACAAGGAAAATCTATAAGCAAAGTTTCCTAAGAGTACTGCAATAAAGTAAAAAGTGAAGAACTTGTACATTTTAAATTCACCTTTCAAATTACCTAGAATATTCAAGTCATTTTCATAGAAGCGCCATGTTTAATACAGCTTTGTATCTCCAAGAATGCCTTGCAAATAATTTGTCATACTACAGGAAGAGCTTCATAAATTCATAAATCTTTAATAAAAACAAAAGCATCCAGTGAGACTGTAGTCTGTCTAATGCTATAAAGCCTCCCACAGTCAGAACACAGATGTTCAGCCCATCCTGCATCTCACTGTACCATTTTAACTCTCGATGTCCTTCATACAAGCCTGGAACCAGAAGCCAAAACGCAGATGACTGGGAAATATTCAAAAGCCCCACAACTACTTCAGTCATCTCTTCCTCTCCATGGTTTCACTCGTTTACCATCGCGACCCTGGCATTTCTGCAACAGCTCAGAGATCCAATCCCTGCTCCCAGGAACCTCCATTCTCGTTCCCACTGTCACCTGCCTCAACACTCATCTGCCAAATCTGACTTCTTCCTTTCAATCCAATCGCTTCCCCAACAGCTCTGGATGCAAAAAGCCGGCCATCACTGCTCAATGACACACCTGCTGTCCCTGTTACCACATCCAAGTCAAAGTAACTTTTATCGCCTAAAAATTATAGTTAAGAAGCACTGACATAAAACTGCTTTTGTCTTTATTTTCAGAAATTTCCAATTATTTTAAGACTAGAGGGCCAGCCAAATAGCTCAACGGATTAAAGCGCCTGTAAGCAGACGCAGGGGCTGGGGGTTCCACGCCCAGCCTGCCGCGCAGGCCCCGCCCCCGGGGCGCTCACCCGCGGAGGGCGGCAGCGGTCTCAAGCCTGCGAGGCCCCGAGGCCGCGGCCCTCTGGGACCTGCCCTCCACGCCAGCAGCACACGCGCCCTCCGGGAGGCATCCGCGCTGCCCCTGCACACGCAGCTGGCCCCGCACGGCAGGGAGGCGCGCGGCAGCGTCCGCCGCACTCGCCAGCCAGGACGGCCGCGCGTCCCGCCCTAGCACGCCGCCTGGGGCTCAGCTGTACCCTCGCGCGGGCAGTTCCGTGCGGGAAAAGAAGTGCCACGGCGCGGACAGGTCCCGCGATGTCGCGCCCGGGGCTCGGGGCTTCCGCGGCGGGGCGGGGCGGCTCCTCGGACCCGTGCTCGGCCTGCCCGGGGCGCGCCGCCGAAACGCCACCCCGAGAGGCGCGAGGTACGCACCGGGCGACCGGCCGGGACCCCTCAGCGCGCCGCGGCCCGCCCTACCCGCCACGGAAGCCGAAGGAACTACGCCAGGGGCGTCGCAACACGACCGCGCCCGCAGCGCCGGCTCTGCCCCGAGCCGAGCCCGCCCGCACTCAGGCCCGGCCGCGCGGCCAGCGGCGCCCTGACGCGCCCCTCACCACCTCCACTCACGCCGGCCGGTCGCCAAAGACTCCGAAAAGCGCGCGGTGCGCTGCGCGCCTGCGCAGTGAGCGAGGTGCGCATGCGCGACGTAAGCGCTCGGCGGAGTCACGCGTGCGTGCGGGCGTGCTTACGTATGTACGTGCGTGCGTGTGGTGGTGTCTGCTGGGGTCGCACCGGGTAGCTGTCGGGACGCAGTGGGTTTAGTACGTTCTTTATCTCTCGGTCGTTGTGCAGGACCTCCGCACTGAGCCACGCCCCAGCTCCCTCCTTTACTTTGAGGCGGCTCACCCAGGAGCGCAGGCGGGCTCCAGTTTGGGAACCTCCCTCCAGCCTGCCCTGTGCGTTCCTGCAGGCGCAGGGTGCCGGCGCTCGTGCTGTAGGCAGCTGAAGTAGAGGTATTCTAGGCAGCCAGACAGGGCCAGGCCCCAAAGACACAAGCCCGAAGACAAAGTGACTTTGCAGCTTGGAAGACAGGGACGCGCCCGTGTGGGCCAGACCTCAAGACCAAGACAAAAGAGGAAACACAGCCACATGCCTCCCTAGGGATGGGCTCAGGGATTGATATTCTACATAGGTCTCAGATACCTTGAAAGAGCCCAACTGAGTCACCAGCCCAACCCCAGCAGGGAGACCCTGGCCCATGTTCATGCCCACCTGCTGCGTGACTCACTTCCCCATTTGGTACTGGATTTAATGCATTTTACCTGAGCAATGGTGTTTGTAATCTCATTGGTTGACCATAGTTTGTCCCACCTAAGCGAGTTCCCACCTCTTCTCGCCCTAGACCTGCCTCACCACATGGTTGTCCTCTATAAAAGTCCCTGGAAGAGACAGCTTCCCAGGGACAACTCTTTCAGGCGCCCCTCCTGTCCCTCTATTAGACAGGAGCTTTCTTTCCTTCAATAAATATATTCTGCTCATAACCTTCATTTGTTCCTAAAATTCCTTCTTTGGTTTTAGAGAACATGAACTCGTCCCAGGTACTTTTTAGGTTGGGAGGTCAGTTTTTCTCCCCGTGTCATTTGGGGGCTCCCTGTATCAGTCACAGGTTTCCGTCCAACTTCTTTCCTGTGGAGTTCCCTGAGTGTGGCTGGAACCCCGCCTTCCTGACCACTAACTGTGGTGAGGAAGAAGGAGTGAAGGCTGGTACTCCTGCTACAGAGACATGAGACACAGTCAACTGAAACCAGTGGAAAGTGCCATTCTAGTGGGAGGGATTTTTTGTTTTTGTTTGGGGGGTGGTACCAGGGGTTGAACTCGGACCTTGCACTTGCCAAGCTGGTGTGTGTGCTGCTGAGCTGTCTCCCAAGCCCCAGTGCAAGGTTTTCGTGGACCATACAGAATGAGGTACAAGAGACCAGGGTAGGTACCTGTGGCATTGCCCTGCATACACAAAGGCAGTGAGTGGAGCTAGTGTGTCCCCATGTTAGAAGACAGAATGACAACAAATTTAAATTTCTTTTCAGCTTTTATTCACGAATCAGCATAGCTTCATGAATCATTGTCCAAAATTGAACCAGAGTCTGCACTGGTCAAAGGCAGGACAGCGGATTTTCTAAAGTGAGGACAAGAAAAGAAAACGCTAATGTACCTTCACACAACATTGGCTTCCTTGTAAGGATCAACAGCCTCGACTCCCCTCTCTTGCTGGTTCCCATAGACTAAACTGTCTCTGCCTGGTTGTGTGAACCTTGTGCTTTTAAAATAAGTTGATCTCTGGGCCAGCGAGTTAGCTCAGCGGTCTAAAAGCGCCTGCTTAGGCAAGCTGGGGCAGAGTGCAGGGACCGTGGTTCAATCTCCAGCACCATGTGCCACGCCAGCCCCACCCGCAGGGTGGGCTGAGCTGGCCACAAAAATAAAATAATAATTTAAAAAATAATGTAACACAACCTAACAAAATAATAAAATGAAAAATTGGTCTGCTTGCAGATCCACCTACCTCCTTAAAGTTTGTTTGGCCATGTTAAGTACTTGGCATGAGTGACTTTACTTAGGCTTGGGCTGTGGGGGCCTAGCTCTGTCAGAAACATTGGGTTCCCATAATTCTTGCTTATTACCTGAAGTGGGACATAACAGAGCAGAAAGGAACTATTTTGGTCATTTTCCTCAATGGCCAACCCAAGTCTGCTTCTCGATGTTTCCAGCTTGGTGCTGGACGAATGGAATTGTTCCACACAAAGTTGTGTTGAAGTCTTCAGCCTTGCTCTAATCAGCTCCCAAAAGCGCCACCCGAGTGTCAGGACTTGAGGGGTGGAGGTGATCCAGATATAAAGCATCCCACGGTTGATCCCGGCAATCGCACAACACTGAGCAACGCAGTGTAATGGATAGGAGGCTAAGTTCTAGAGCCAGACTGGGCTGCAGCCCCAGCTCAGCCACTGATTCGGGGCAGGTCACTAAAGCTGTCAAAGTCTTGCTGTGCACGTGTGTAAAACAGGATAACGAGGGCACCTACCTCTGGGAATTTCAACGTGTTCATATTTTAAATCAAGCTCAATAATGCCTGGCTCAGAACAAATGCTGTGAGTGGCTTTTGTTGCAGAAACTGGGAGAAAGCCCTTCTTCCTGTCTCTAGGGCTAGGAGCTATAGGGCCCCGTGCTGCGTTGGAGATGCTCCATCAGAGCTGATGGCCTGGAAGTGAGCCATGCAAGCACATCTCTGCTGGGACTGCATGGAACTGCATCTACTCTGAAGCCTTAGTCTCTGCCCCCGGGAGATCAGACCAGTTCAGAGAGGAGTGTCCCAGCCCCCGGCTGGCCTCTGCATGCAGCAGCCCTAGTGCCACCTGCAGCCCACTGTCCTGCCTCCGACTCCTCTCCACCATCTTCCCAACTGCTTCTGAACAGGCAGGACAGAGCCGCTCCAAGTAGCTGAGGGCTGGTACTGGCTCATCTTGGAGCCTCCCAGAAACCGGGCACAGGGCACACCCAGCGCAAAACTATCTCATTTTAAGATTTAGTCAGCTCAGCCTCAGTTCAGTGGCATGAGTGCCCGCTCCAACGGTCCTGTGCAGAGGTCCTGTGCATGCTGATGGACCATCCCAGGTTCTCACGCTGTGACAGAAGTCGAGTTTGATTCATGACCAGATGTCCTGACCAAACATGATGGGAGAACTATGCACGTGTAATGGTTCTGGATTTCTGAATACCATCGTATGATTCAACTACATTTACATATACTGGAAGCCTTTAACATTCAAATGCCTACTAATGACCGGAGGACCTTTGCTGAGTCTCTACTAGAAGTAGGTAATCTGGGATAAAAACAGGCATACTGATAAAAGGAAAATAATTCCGAAGAAAGATAGAGGACATTTGCATACCACCTTTCCTTGAATTTGATGTTTATAGGAGCACCCTTCTTTTACTTATTGGTCATGATGGATTTGCTGCACAGGGAAACTAAGGCCCTGGAAATCAGAACATCACAACAGAAGAATGGGAGCCCGTTGCTTGGATCCAGGACGTTTCTTGGTTATGAATTGGCTGAAGTCACCCCCACATAAAACGTCTGTGCTGTTAATTATGTGTCTGGAACGGTGCATGAGCTATGGTTGGCTCTCAGCGAACATGGAATAAACGCCATCTAAAACTGTCTAAGTGTGGCATATCCAGCCTCTGCAAGGGAAAGCCCACAGCACAACACGCAGTGTGACAGAGAGTAGAACAAGATGACCACCTCACACAATTAGCAGATCACTTCAGCTGTTTATTAAGCATTTAGTCATGTGACAGGATGATTTGAAGACCACAGGTAGAGCCTCAAGTTATGATCACAGACAGCCCTAGCAAACACTTCACTGAGCCTTTTCTGCTACCACTAATGGCTTCGTGAGCGTGAACACCTCACTGTCTTCTTCAGCAGGAGATAGGATATGATTTGTAATCAGCAAGTATCACAGCCAGATAGTGAGGTAAGTTCCAGCCACTTGGATGAACTTCACATACAGTAGTTATTTTTCATTGATCAGACACAGAGGAAGACGATCACAAGCCTGGTTAACTCTGGGGACAGACACAAGGCCACGAACAGCGGAGCTCCGTGGAGCAGGGGCGGGGTTTACTTTCTTCTCATTTTGGTTTGCGGATAAACTTTCACTCAGCTTTCAGTTCCTACAGGGAGAAAAACAGCATGAACGAGCGACTGCATTCCAAACATAAAGTGCAACAATTTTGTGGACTTTTTATTGTATATAGAGAAGAAATAGACTATTTCTCCCGTATAATAGAGGCAAAGGTCCGAGGTGCCATAGTTTGAACTGGAAGACAGGAGTCGCTGTTGTGGCGCTCACATCTCTAGTGACGAGCTTTATCGATAGCAACTAGAATCTCTGCCTGATGTCCTCCCCTTTGTAAAATAGGAATGGTTTCCACTTTTGCTCAAAATTGTGAGCATATGGACATGACATGACAACCTCAGATAGGCACAAGAATAAGATCAAGGTACTAAGACTTCTCAATGTTCAGTTAATCTGACCAGAATATACCTGTACTATAATTTTATATGGTGTCTCACCTACTTTTAAGAATACTCTATTTATTTATTATCTTTTATTTATTTATTTGGTCCAGGATCTTGCTACATAGCTCAGATTTGTGGCGATCCTCCTGTCTCAGCCTCCCCAGAGCTGGGATTATAGGTGTGCGCCACCACGCCTGGTCTCAGTGGCCAGCTCAACATGTGGTACATGTTCAACATGTGATAATGGGCATCAAATCCAGGTCCTTGTGCTTGCTAGGCAGGGCTTAGATTGCTGGAATATTGAAGAATTTGAAGAATATTGAAGCCCAGTGTTTCTTTTGAATCTGCAGCAAGGATAAAGGGCCTGGAGGAACTGGGGTTTCTATGAGAAATCTGTTTCTGTTTCTGGCCACTTTCCAGAGTCACTGTTGTATGTATTGTTCTGGGCACATGGGAATAAGGTCCTTACCTGGTACAAGCTTATTGGGTACCTGGCATGTCCACCAGGCGTGTGTTTGATGGGGTTTGTTTTGCATGTATGTATTTCTTATGCTTAGAGCAACTGAGTTCTTCAAACATGAGCCCTTCCCTGACACCTTCCAGAGATGCTGAAGATGAGACTCTGAGTTGTTTTGGAGCAGAGGTCTCAGCTTAGGAGCACAGGGGGGTTCTTCCTGTATTCCTTGGCATACTTCCACTGGGGAGGTAGCTGCCTTGGCCCCACTTTTCTGAGGCTACCAGAGCCACTCACATGATGAAATCCAACTCTGAACCTGATTTTTTAAAAAATCACTATACTGCTTCAGATATTTGCGGTTATAATTGGGAGTAGAGAAGATAAAGCTGCCTGCGTACAAGTTACACCATTAGATGCTGTGTCCTCCACAGGCTGTAATAAAAGACAGCGAGGAGGTGAAGCAGAGAGGCAGAGAAGGAGAACTTCACGGGGAAGGTCCCACAGACACCCACCGCCCGCTTCCCCAGGTGGGAGCCCACCACGACAGGAACAGGGAACTCCAGCGCAGCGACACACCTGTATTAGCCTGTGAAAGGCCTGTGCAGCTGATCCTTTCAGTGCCCGTGTACATAGTTTAAAAACCCTTCCTGTGCACGGACATCTGAGGAAGCTGTGTGCGGATCGCAGGCCTACGCTGCCAGGGCCCCAGCCCTCACGAGCAGGCGTCTAAGCGTGCTTGTCTCGTAAGCCGTTGTCTCAGGGCAGTGAGCTCCCCGCCACATGAAATCCCATCTTACTGAGTCCTTGTATCTAAAGCTTGCCAGTTTAACATAGAAGCTTGTGGTGACAGCAAGTCACCTTAATGCCATTTGGGGAGACGCAAGAGGCCGATATTATGGACTGATATTCTCCTATCAGACAATAAAAAGTTACAAATCTTAGTTCTCAAGGAACCATTAACAGTAGCATTTGTTCTCCTTCTGCTGAACGTCATACGGTTTTCACACTCGGGGTGGAATGCAGTCCCCGGTGCTAAGGGCCAGAGCCGGGGCGGGGTGAGGACGGGGACTCCTGCCTGGGCAGCGCTCGCACTCACCTCTAGGTGTGGCTTTCCAGCCTCAGCACCTCGCCTGCCAGCTCTTGGATGTGCTGCCAGGCCCGCTGCACGTGGGCAGAGGCCACCTCGCGGGAGCAGATGGCGAAGCGCAGCACAAACTTGTCCCGGAGGTAGCATGGGACCAGGTGGATCTTCCTGGCACTGTTTATTCTCTTCAGAAGCATTTCATTCAGCTGGTTGGAGCCCTGGAGGAATTCAAAGGGGGAGACTGTGCTTAGCCCTCTGATGTCTTAAAACATCACCCTACCCCACATCATGACCTCAGCCAAAGCCTGGCAAGACAGATACAGAAAGAAAAGGCCACTGCTTGCCTTCGTTTGGGAGATGAACACATCCAGCAGTAATAGTGACGTGGCCCAAAAGGCCCCTCCCCATCTCTGCAAGACCATTTGTCCCTGTTCCAATGTGCTGTCAAGAGGTGGTCCTCCCAAGCTCCAAGATTGTTTAGAGAAATGAAGATCCCTACACTAGATGCCTTGCACAAGTGGGTGGGCTCAAGCCAAGTGACTGCGGTCTCCATTCCTGACAGAGAAGAAAGCCTCACCAGCAGTGCAGAAGAAGCTGCTGTCAGAATCCAGGAAAGGTGTCCACCAACCAACGATGGTCTCTCTGGTATAGAGTAGCCCACCAGCCAAGGCAAAGGTCCTAGGTCCCACCATGCCCCCTGAAGGCCCAGGAATGACAGCTCTGTATCAAGCAGTGCATGGGAGGCCACATATCCCCACTCTGCTTGCCTTGCACAGGTAGCCTGGCCCTGGTCCTCTCTGCCCACCCCCTCCACACCCCTGCCTGTCTTATTCTATGCAGCCTCTCCCTGTCCACTGAGCCATACAGTAGGGTTCAAGGCAGGGAGGGGCTTCGTGCACATAGACGCTCTCTGAGACCCTTAGAGGGCTGTCCCATTCCCCTGGCCCAGTCTTCAGGTGAAGACAGAAGCAGCCAGGCTGCAGGGCAGAATCACACCTGCAGAACACCTGCTGGGTGCTAGAAACAGCCTTGACCCAGGCAGGTCCTCCTGGGCTCGAGCTGTGGGTCTCAGCCTGGCTCCAAGTTGCCTAGCACACCATGACAGGGTCGCAGGCAATCTGCAAAGTGTCTGCACGCACACTGGGTCTGGATGAACTGGACCCTGCTCAAGGGGAAGGGTGGAAGACAAGGCAAGGAAGAAGATGCAACAGGGCGGGACAGCGGGGCCACACTGCAGCTACTCAGTGAACCAACTAAAAACACAGGTAATCGAAAGAAAGGCAGGGACGTACATCCTGATGCCAAAACCAATCTGAACAAGAGATGTGCAGATCAAACAAAGCACAGACAGAGGACTTTGCAAAACAGTGAAGCAGCCTGCTGGCTCCCTGCTTGCAGAGCTGGAATGCACACTCTAGGAAGAGTGTGCCTGCAACAGAGTGGCACACTCAACCACACTGGAGAGGGCTGGGGGCCTTCCTCCACAGAGAACATTGGAGCCTGGCACAGAGTTTCGCCAGAACACACAGGGGCAAGTGACCAGGAAGCTAAGCTCCTCCCCGCCCCCCCAATCACTGTTCTGTTCTTTTTTTTTTTTTTTTTTAGT